ACACCAGGCTGGCCACAGTAGTCCACACCTGTAATTCTAGATCTCTGATGGCTGAGAGAAGAATGACTACATGTCTGAGGAAAGCCTGGGTCATAGAGAGAGACACTACCAAAGAAAAATGTCTTTCAAAATTCCCCGCTGAACTATGAAAATGATGTCCTACTATGTTCAGAGAATGAGAAACTGGTAGAGAGGGTCTCCTTTACTTATTCCCAGCCTCAAGAATAGACAAGAAAGTTTCAAAAGATGTTACAATTCTGTCAAACCACAGTTTCATTGCTGTTATTTTAACTATTTACAAAGTGACAGGTTTCCATATGATATTTTCATGGATAATTGTGATTGATGCTATCCCATTGCCTCCTCTCCCCCATCTCTCTGTTCCCCATCTTGCTGTAAATGCTCCCAAGTACCCTCAGGGTTTCCCCTCGGATTTTGGTATCAACATGTGTTGTTACTCTCTTTTAAAGTCTGTTTCTTCTTCCATGGGTCCCTTTCTTATTCTCTGACCTCCACACATCTTACTTCCACTTAAATACATGTTTTTTCCCGAGACAGGGTTTCTCTGTGTAGTTTTGGAGCCTATCCTGGCACTCTCTGTAGACCAGGTAGGCCTTGAACTCACAGATATCTTCCTGCCTCTGCCTCCCGAGTACTGGGATTAAAGATGTGAGCCACCAATGCCCAGCCACTTAAATACATATGTAAAAATTACAAACTAAGATCTCCATATGAGAAAAAAACATGTTCCTGTACATAAACCTAGGTTATCTCACTTAATATGTATATTTTGTCAGTTTTGTAAATTTTCTTCACAATTCATAACTTCGTTTTTCTTTATGGCTGAAAAAAATTCTCCCATGTGTAGGTACCACATACTCACCATCCATTCATCACTTAATGGATATTGTAATGGCTATTCTCAATTGTCAACTTGATGAGACCTAGAGTCACCTGAGAAATGCACCTCTGAGCAGACCTGTGAGAGACTACCTTATCACATTCACTGAAATGAGAAGACATGCCCATTGTAGATGGCGCCATTTCCTAGGCAGAAATCCTAAACTACATAGAAAGGAGAACGTGAACTGAGCACTAGCATCCATTGCTCTCTCCTTTCTGTGTGGTGATATCTTGCTTGTACAAATAAAGCTTGTCTGAAGACCAGAGGGTGAAGCTAGTCGCTAGCTAACGATAGAGGTCTGGAGGTCTGTACATGCAAGGTATCAGCACATTTCTGACTGAATGCAGTGCGATCAGCAGCTTCAAGCACCAGCTGCCTCACCATTCCCACCATGACATAATGTAGCCTTGATCTGTGACAAGCTGAAGCTGCTTTTGCTAGGGTATTTCATCACAGCCACAGAAAAGTCAAGACAACCCAGTTGATCTCATTTCCTTGCTTTTGGGGATAGATCTGCAGTAAACATGAGTAAGCAAGTATCTTAAAACATAGCCTATTACTTAGAAAATGGCCTACATTGGGACAGAAAATACTTCCCTCTTTGTAGCATAAAAACCACCCACAAAACAGTCGGGACTCCTTGCTAAAGATAATTGAAAGTAGCTAGATATGGCAGACAATGAGTGCCATTTTTTTTCTAAGATGGAGATGCCTTTTTCTGAATTAAGTCCTCACTCAGTTAACTGAGATTCTTTCCACAAGAAACCAAGTAGTCAAATGGATTCACGTGATTGCAACAACCACTCATGGTCTTGACCTCACAGGTAAAAAGGGGAGTGAGGACCCAATGATATCATTTTTAATGAAGAGTAACAGGAAAAACCCAGCCTTTCATGGAGTGTGAAAGACTTATGGTGGAGCTTTGATATTTAAGAGACTGAGTTGAAAACTTAGGAGAGAGTGCTCTGAGAATAGGATGTTTGAAATTGTGACTAAGCAAGAATTTCAAGTTGGGGTAATGACAGCGTCAACAGCCAATGAAGTAGAATGGAGCATAAAATTGATTAGAGGAGCCAAGTCCTGTGATACCAGCTGCAAGGGAGACCAAGGCCAAAGAATCACAAGTGCAAGGCCAACCTGTTCTATAAAGAAATGTCAAAGCCAGTCTGGTAATTTACCTGGACCTTGTCTCAAAATAAAAAGCTTTGAAAGGAGAACTGAGATGATACAGCAGTGAAATGGAAATATGGACAGATAGCAAGGATGACAACTGGCAAAAAAATATTTTGAAAAGAGGAAGGAGGGATCGAAGGGGCTGGAGATGTGGTTCAATGGTAGACCAGTTGCCTAGGATGTAAAAGGCTGTGGGTTTGATCCATAGTACTGAATGAAAGAAGGAAGAGGGAAGAAGAGGAAGAGGACAGGGAGGAGAAAGATAGAAATAGAAGGTGGGGGAGACATTGCATGTTAATTCAAAAGGCACACAACATACCAGTGAACATTGCACAGGAGTTTATCAGACCTATGATGTGTCATTGTTTAAATTAAAATACATGTCTGCATCATATTCCCACAGCAACTAAACCATTCAGAGCTCTATGTGTTTTGAGGATTGAAATGCATATATATATATATATATATATATGTATATATATATATATAAGCACTTCAGTTGGGATGGAGATATACTTCAGCTGGAGAACACTCACCTTGGCTGCAATAAACCCTGTGTTCAACACCCAGCACAAAAGGAAACTGGATAGGGCAGTATACCCCAGTGATCCTCATAACTCTGGAGGTAGAGGCAGGAGTATCAGAGGTTCCAGGTCGTCTTCCTCCACATACCAAGTCTGATAACGGTGAGATTATCTCAAAAGAAAATTTAATTAGTTAAAATTTAAATATAAGGCAGAACATATACATAGATTATTAAATTGTGTTGTTGTTTCCATTTTTAATGTTCTCAGTGATATTTTCTTCTTTCTTCATTGTGTTTTGAGAAAAGGTATTTCTATGTAGTCCTAGATCTAGTGGAACTCACTAAGTAGGCCAGGCCTGTCTCAACACACAATAATCTTGCCTCTGCCTTCCAAGTGCTGGAATTATGAGGAGTGCCACCACTGAGAGTCCTCTCTCCCTCCCTCCCTCCCTCCCTCCCTCCCTCCCTCCCTCCCTCCCTCCCTCTCTCTCTCTCTCTCTCTCTCTCTCTCATTGTTTGTTGAAACATGTTTCTCTGTATATCCCTGACTGTCCTGCAACTCTCTATGTAGTTGCCAGGCCAACCTGAACCTCACAGAAATCCTCTTGCCTCTGCCTCCTTACTGCTGGGATTAAAAGCATGAGCCACATCACATACCTTTAATCCCAGCACTCGTGAGGCAGAAGCAGGCAGATCTCTGAGTTCAAGTCCAGTCTGGTCTACAGAGTGAGTCCAGGGACAGTCAGCAAACCCGGACTCAAAAAACAAAGCAAAACAAACAAACAAAAAAAGCATGAGCCACAACTGCAAGGCTTTTCTTAAATTTATTTTTAGAATTTATTTATTTCTCCAGCCTTCAGTTTCTCTTCTTTTTAAATGGGGCTTCATTCAACTGACATTGACCAGTAACTCACAAGGCAGGTTGGAATTCCTGTTTCTACTTCTCCCCAGTAAGGAGTATAAATGAGCATTACGACACTGGGCCTCTCTTGAAAAATTTTATTACAGCACTTAATCTTCAGGAATCTCCACCTGAATGTTTCACTTTAGTAATTTAAAAGCGCTTTTCACAGAGCTGGAAAAAGACCCATACATTTCGCTAACCATGGGGTAGGAGATACATTCCAACTAATGTTGAGAATGTTTGCACCAAGCCCTGGTTTCAATCCATAGCTAGCTATAAATCGGGTCTGGTGGTACACTTATGGAATTGAAGCACTCAGAAAACTATGTCTTCATCATTTATTCATTTTAGTTGTTTCTTTTGAAAGGATGTATTTATTTTTTATTTTATGTGTATGGATGTTTCCCTGCATGTTTGTCTGTACACCAAGGACTTGATTGCTGCCACTGGAGGCCAGACAAGGGCATTAGATTCCCAGGAAATAGAATTACAGAAGACTGTGAGTTGCTAGGATCTGCCAGATCCTCTGTAAGATCAGCATATGCTCTTAACCACTGAGACATCTTTTCAGCCCATCGAAGTTTCTAAAAATGGTGACCCAGGCTGGTGTTGAACTTGAGAGTCATTTCCTTTACCTTTTTATAATGCTGGGATCACATACTCATACTATGAAGCACAGTACACACACGCACAGTGAAATTTTTTCCAAAATATGAAAACAAATAATTTGATTAACACTTAAGTTAAGAGAACTGAATGATTGGAGACTGGATGGAGCACTGTTTTAGGTGATTTTTTTTTCTCTTTTATCCATTTATTTATTTATTTACTTTGGAGAGAGAAGAGAGAAAAAGGTCTCTCTTTGTAGTTTCGATTGTATTGAAGCCAGGTAGACTACTGTGGCCAAATTTTGCTAGATATTTTGGATTCTCAAAAACCGAATTTTAAAGATCAGCATTCTTACAATCCTATTCCTGGTCTGTCATAAAAAAAGAAAATTGGCGGGGGGGGGGGGGTGGCCCACGCCCTTAATCCCAGCACTCCAGGAGCAGAAGCACCCAGATCTCTTTGAACCTGGTCTACAGAGTTAGATCCAGGCCAGGATCCAAAAGGTACCCTGAGAAACCCTATTTTGAAAAGGCAAAACCAAAGAGCAAAAAACTAAAACAAAACAAATCCACGAAAGTTTTTCTTACTCCTCTAGGCCAAAAAGTATTTCTCAAGTACAGCCTGGGCTATTGGAAATCCAAGCCCAACCCTCCAGGGAATATGGAGCCTTTGCAATGGAGGCTCAAGGGGCGGAGCCTAGTGTGAGATTTCACGACTTCATTTTCCGGTGTATCTCTGAGGATATAAATGACGTCTAGAGTGTATCCGGCGGGACTTGAAGAAAGCTAAGGACTCCGGAGCCCCGGACTGCAGACGCTCAGCACGCGCCTTCGCACCTGTTTGCTCTGAACCCCGCACCTCGCCAATCCCGCAGCTTCCTCAACATGCTGCACATGCGACCTCACAGCCCCAGCGCCGACCCCGCGCCCTGCTGGGCACCACAGCCTCAAGGACCCAGCCCTGCTAAGCGCCGCCGCCTCCACGAGCCTGCCCGCCATGAGCCCCCGGCGTCTCCCGACCTGGAAGCGCCCACCCAGGCCACCAACGAAGAGCTCACCTCCGTGCTGGTCCTGGCCCATGGCTGTGCCATGCAACTGCAGCTGGACGGAGTCGACCTACTGCTGGAGCCCGAGCCCACCTCGGTAATGCAAGTGGAGCTCCCTGGACACACCTTAATCCTGGTGCCCGAGGGCCTCCAGTCTTTCGCCCATCTTGGACAGCCTGGGTTCTTGTCCACCAGCCCACAGGAAGGCGCTCTCCGGCACTTGCCCCAGGACCACCTCGTCGTCCTCCAGCAGGGATCCCTCTGTGAAGACATCCTAGACAACTCCTATCAAGAGGTCGCCTGCGATGAGGAGGACGACTCTGGCTTCCTGTCACCCTGGATTGACGCTCCAGCTGGCCAGGCCTCTGAGCTCCTTTCCTGCCACATCAGGATGCCCACTCCTTGGCCTCAGGACTACATCCTCGAACCACAGCTTCAGGTACCCTCCCCTACTGCAGAGCCATGGTCTCCGAGGTCCTTCTGGGACTTGGATAGCTACCTGCAGGGACCTTTCCCCACCTCGCCACTGCAGCCTCTGCCCCCATCTCCTCCTCCAAGTCCCCAGGAGCAGCGCCCTCCACGCCCTCCAGGCCCTCCACGCCCTCCACGCGCCCCGTGCAAGGCCCGGAGGCGACTGTTCTATGAATGAACTACCTGCACAAATCCTGATGCCGCTCAAGGAAAAGGCTCCCCAAAGCCACTGTGTGTGTCTTTGCGCAGCCTACAAGGTTAGAAAGGCACTCTCGTTCTTGAAATGGGCAGAATGTAGAATATTGGATCGGTGATTGACTAGAAAGCCTGAAAGATCATTGCCACCAGATCACGTGCTGTTTGAAAATCGCCCACTTAAGGTCTTTGAATTGACTTCTTCTGCCCTTTTCTATACAGAAGTCACCCTTTGGTACTTTCATCCTAGAAATCCTGGTTTTGTAGCAAATCCCAGTTTTATTCCAGCACTACTCCTTAAAGGAACACGCTACCATTCACCCTTACCCCCAGCTTAATTACTTGAATTAGCTAGTAATTGGCAGTGAAATTCTTTTCTCTTATGAGCTTTAGCACTAATCTCTCCTAATCTGGGCTGGCTTCCCCCACCACATGGGCCCTTTCTTTATGAGGGCTAGTCCTTGTTTGGGAGGATAGCAAAAGGTTGCACCTCGCAGATGCTGTTCCTATTGAAACAAACTTAGCAATGGAAGCAATGATCAGGTTCTTTTTTTAAATAATTATGTAGTTTATATTTATGGAGTTTTTTGTTGGGTGTTTTTTGTAAGCTTGTTTTAATTTAACTTTGGGTGGTGTTGGTTTTTCATTTTCTTTCCATGAGAGCCAAGTCTCTTGACATCATTTTGTGTATTTTTAACATAGTTCTCCTGTTCTCTGGGGTCATCTAATGTTATATTAATTAGGTATAAGGCTATATTGATAGAATAATTACATCCCAAATTTATTTTGCTCTTTGTTATGAGTGTATAGATTGAAGTCTTACAGTGATTTGATATCCAACAAAATTTATTAATTTCTTTAGTAATTTTATGTACTTTCATTTGAATGTTTGATAAAAATAGTATATATCTCATCTGTCCTTAACAATTTTTATTGGATATTTAAGTTCAATTGAAGTATATTTATTAGGGTTATTGTAATGAACTTACTTAAGTTTTATAGACTATTATCTTTTCTGTAAATAGTTGTTAGATAGTCTTTGTCTTGCTGAAGATGTTGCTTTATAATGTTTTTGATCATTTAAAAGAATGTTGTGTTTTTTTCTTTTGGTTTTGGCTAAGTACAAAGACTTTGTAAAAATGTTGGATTTAATAATTGAATTAAATTATATTTTAAAAACTTGAGTATTAGAGTACTTTCATATATGAACTGTGTTGAATCCTGAGTTTGGCACACACACAGCAACATGGTGAGAGGAAAAATGAGACTAGGGATGGGGCTAAAGGGCTTTGCAAAACTCAGACTCTCCTTTAGAGACTTGAGAGAGCTGGTTAGAGGAAGAAATGATTGAGAGTTGCCTTAGGTGTCAGTGTTAACATTTTAAGAATTTTTTGCTTTGTGCATGGTATTCCATACTGTCATTCCAGTCCATGTGTTGGCTTGGCAGAGACAGAACTTACAACAGAGAATTGAGGGTCAGTCCATGTAGAACTTGCAGCACCCAGGGTTCTTTGATTTCCTGCTAGCCCAAATAGCCCAAATGATTTTGTTAAGACTGTAATTCCATACTAGGTTGTGTTGCTCTTTTGGTTTTGTGTTTGTGTGTGTACAAAGGGAGCTCCCATTGTTCGTGGTTGGTTTTTCTCCGTGTGTTTGCTGTTTGGATTTTATGTACATCACTTCTAACGTTTAAATGTCTATTTTTGATGTGTTTGTCCATATTTTTAAAATAAAATAAATCATTATCATCAAATCTAAAACCAACATAGTACTTTCTACCTAAACCTGGGAATGCTTTCCAGTTACTTCCCTTATTTTCATTCTTGCACTCCACCCCTTCATTTTGTCCTCATGTGTCTTCTTGCTGAAGTACAATTTTCTTTTTCTTTTCTCCTTTTTTTGACAGGAGTTCCCTCTCCAACTTGTCTTAAACTTGCAATCCTCCTGCCTTAGCTTCACGAGTATTTCTATGATAAGTAAATGTTACCACATGGAGCGTACTGTATACTTTTTAAGGATTCCTTCCTCCAAGGACTGCATAATAAGACTCAAGTTTGTGTTTGGAAATGTCTGGATTCACATCTAAACATGTGTGCCACTTTAGCTGGGATTATAACTCTGAAGTAGCCTCTGTATCTCTCACTGCATTCACTGCATTGTTCATTGTTGCAGATGGAGAAGCCTGATCTCAAGTTGCATTGATATTTCTTGTATGGAATGAAGCTGCTCATTGTAGTACTTTTATTGCCTTTGATGATCTACACCTTCAAGTTGGTATCTTTAATCATAGGGAATGTATGTGTTGTCTGTTGCTTCCCACATAACCTCCTAAATGATGAAATTAATTCTTTATCAACGTTTCCATTTTTGAAATGAGTCACTGGGCTTGGGATATAGCTCTCTAGTAAAAACATTTTCCACAGAAAACATATTTTTAAAGGAAGAATTTTCTCTTGAACCTTTGAATCCCTCTTTAGTCTCTACATCACCTGTTAGGAAAATGATGAACCTACATAATCAATGCTTTCCTTGATTTCTTTCTGAACAAATGAATTCAGAGTTGGGAGCTTGATTTTCTGCTCCATATGTGAATTTTACATTTGCCTCTTCCTGGTTTCCAAAAACCCAAAAGTAAGTAAGAGCCAAAAGGTATGGAATGCATCTTACACTCAAAAAAATACTTCTAGTCTTCAAATATCCCAAATGGTCCAATTCCCAATATTAATACATGAGATGCTGGGATGGAATGTTCATATCACTGTCCCCTTAGATTGATGAGAGAATTAACAACTAAATCATCCAGGAATTATTCTCAGGTTCTAATTATTTTTCACATAATGCATATTATTTCTTTAAAATTTTACACAATATATTTATATCATACTCCTTTCACCTCCACAAACTCAATATATATGTGACTGAATATTGATTGATACACAACCTGCCCAGCTTTTTAGTGCTACTTGTACATGTCTGACTTCAGGACTAACCACTTGGTATTGGATAACCAGTTAGAGGTCTCAACCATGGAGAAGACTATTTTCCCCATCCCAGCATTCCTCCGTTGCCTCTAATTTTTGCCTATGCATGGGACCTCATGAGATTTCCCCATACTGTGTTGGCATAACCATTGGTCTTGTACTTCTTCAGGTTTTGTTTAGGCAGCTATGTTGTTGAGGTATCATAGCTATAGCTTTCCTATCATTTCTAGGAGACTCATTCTCACAGCAGGTTTTGGTCCTGTGACTCTTGTAATCTTCCCACCTCCTCTTCTGCTGTGTTCCCAGGACCACAGGTGCAGGAGTTGGGTTGTAGATGTATCAAGTGGTGCTTGTCACCCCATGACAACTTGTTCTCTACTTTCTGAGAGAGTTTGGTTTTCTATAACAATCTCCATTGGTTGCAAAGAGATGTTTCTTTGATGAGTGGTGAGAGCTACCCTTTTTGGTGAGTATAAGGATAAATATTTAGGATGCAGTTAGGAATTATGTGGATTTAGTAAAGTGGAGGTAGTAGGTTCTCCAAGAGCCATGACCTCACTAGCCCCTCAATCCACTCCAACTCTTAGTTCTCCTTGTCTAAGCCTCCTCCATTTTTCCAACAACTCTGCCAGGAACCTATCAATTGCCTCTAAAGACTCACTGACCCCATAGAGTCAAGGTATTAAGGAAACTGGGTAATTTCGACTTTTGTTGTAAGCTAAATTAAAAACTAAAATTTCCCTAACCACAGACAAGACCAATAAATATTCATAGAATTCTCTCGGCCTAGACTGGCTTTGAAGGCAACATCCTAATAATTCTTAGGATGTTACCAGCCTTCCAAGTTTGGGATTATAGGGGTGCACTACTATAGTTGGCTAACAATTTATATTTCTTTGGGTACAAATTAACAGTCTTGTACACATATTGGTCAGAACATCCTAAATGCTGGATATCAAAAGCTAACTGAGCTAGCCCAGAAAAAAACCTACAGATAGGCAAAGACTACCTAACAACACCACCCACCCAGTTCAAGCATAAAAAACCTCCCACCAAGTTTTTGGTGAGGGCAATGGAAGAGACTATCAAAAATAGTATAGGCTATTGCCACTGCTCTTGGTTGCCTCTCACAACTTAAAGGTAAGATGCAATTGCTAAAAACATCCACACTTTAGACACAGGAATTGAGGTGGAACTGACCTGGAATCCTCCTCCTTAAGGACTAGCTCTTATAGCATCCAAAAGTGCTTTGCAAGCTGCCAATGGAGAAAAGCAATCAATAGTTCTAACTAGCTGTAAAGCCTAAGAACCACAACAGAGACAAGCATGGCAAGATATCCCCAAAGGGTACAATAATGGCATTTGTATCTTGGTAGCAACCAACAGCTGTGTAATTGCACTTAAAGTCTGCTCGATATGAGGAAATCCATGTGTGGTTTTGTAAACCTAGCCACCGAACCATGGCTAATTGACCCTAGGAGACAGCCACTTTCCTATAACAGTATAGCATCTGGCTGCATTCTAAATACTTGCCTTTATATCCATGGATAAATGTAGCTCTTATCCCTTATCAAAGAAGCTTCTCTTTTCATCAGACAGTGTTCAGCCCCAATTGATACAAGTAGTATTGATCTGCAATACAACTCCTACAAGAAAAACCCAGGGAACATGGAAGAGGGGGCAGAAAGATTCTGAGAACCAGCTAAGCATGGAGGTCCAATTCATTATCCCAGTACTCAGGATTCAGAGATAGACAGATATCTGTGAACTAATCACATATTGAGTTCCAGGCCAGCCAGTGATACATGGTGAAACACTGTCTCAAAAAGAGAGAGAGAGAGACCTTGTAAGAGAAATATCCAACTTCATATGGATAGCCTAAACAATCCTATACAATAAAGGATCATATGGGGGCATTACCATCCCTGACTTCAAGTTCTACTATAGAGCTATAGTAATGAAAACAGCTTGGTATTGGCATAAAAACAGACAGGTGAGCCAATGGAATCAAATCCAA